GTAATGAGTGGTAGATATTACGACTTGATACTACAGTACAGGTGAATACCATACATGTAGTAATGAGTGGTAGATATTACGACTTGATACTACATCCATTAGTCTGTTTAGTGGGTATATCAATGAACATGGCATCCACCTTACTTCGGCGAATTTATGTAAAATAAATGTTTAGATATTTAATATTATGAATTAGGATTAAGAATTTCAGTAAATAAAGCAGCTAACGCTGCCATTGTTAGAGTTGTTTCATCATTTGTAGCTTATTGTACTCAAAATTGATTCTTTCCTCCAACTAGACCAACGACTAAATTATTCATAACTAGCCTGCGTTTGGAAATAAAATAAATACGCAGTCTGAAGCATTTCAATTGCCACATATGAAGAGCATTTAATTACCGATTTCTCTCTGAAATAGAACTGTGAAGCGTCAAAGAGACAACCTGCAGAAAGCGATACTTTATCAAGAAGAGAATAGTATACAAGACGCTGACAAACAAAAACTGCTGGCTCAGGTACTTTATTGCTGTAAATAGTTCGATATCTCCACACTTCTATAGTGCAAAAACTGATACTAACAACACATGTGGTTCAATTTATTTTATTGCAGCTGTCTGAGGAAACACACTATCTGTTTACAAAGATTCAGCAAAACAGACCGTTGGTGGAAGATGTAGCAATAAATATTAATARAATGATTGAGAAACTAGAATAACGGTATTTTACGAAATTGTGTCCACCGTATTATTCCAAAATGTAAATATCGTAACACATGGTCATAATAAAGTGATATAAATAAAGTTTCTTGGCACACTTTTGAACTGTTTTTAAGCTGTGTGTTAATCACTGTGATACTCTAGAGATATAAGGTAATCCATTCTATTTGGCGACAGCGGTGTATTCTGCTGTTGTTTATTCCAAAGCTGGACCACAATGCACCTCGTTTGTGGGACTCGGAAAGGCTTATGTTAGAATGAAGACAACTAGAATGACTTGCAAGATATAGTTCAACTTCAACTTCCACAATAGCAAAGAGTTATTAAGCAGCAGAGAGAGGTCTGGGTAACCTACAAGTCACTGTCACTGAGAAGCCCTATATCAAACAAAATTCTTTTTAGTTTCAAAACACTACGCTTTATCGCCGGATGTAACATTCTTGGGCGGCAAGTAGTCTTCAGTATCTCTGATCTACTGCATCACGTGACCACAACTCCACGGTAAAACACGTGTCCAGTTTTGCTGTCAATCAACGCCGGCCACACATGGTACTTTATTTTTGTGCTTTCCTTATCGGACGTGTAAAATCGAGTGTGCATGTTTTCTGACAAAGTAGTTGTTTCGTAGTGTATGATCATTGGTGGTGTTTGTACTGACATCCGCCAGGCTAAGCTCACACATTCATCTATGAAATCTTGTAGTTTTTTACATTTCTGGAGTTCTGGGAAATCGTATAAGGTCTTCCAGAGTTGTGCACTGACTTCCTGTTCAAAAAAAGATGGTTTTTGCTTTAAAGTGCACCTAACCCCTCAATACAATACTTTCAGTATTGATTCTACATAAGTGAATAGTTGAATGGTGAAATGTTTCATGTTTATGACTGAGACGTCACCACAGGCTTCATTAAAAATACAAATTTTGACTGGTTCACACAAACAGTTTTGAAAAAAACATCATTATACTCAAGGTTTCCACAATGTTTATTGTAAATTTGATTACTCATAATGGCTAGTGTTAAGTATTAAAAATTAAAACAAATACACTCAAAAACCTGGGGTGACGTCACAGTCAGTAACATAATGGAAGTATAAACCTTCATAACTTAAAGACGCAACATTAAAATAAAGAAATATTTCACCATTCAACTATTCACTTTATGTAGAATCAATACTGAAAGTATAGTATCAGGGGTTAAGTGCACTTTAACTTGGCACACCAGACAAAGATAAAGATTTCAAAAAAGATAAATGCTAGGAAATAGTTTGTGTTTACATGAACAGAGCAGTAGAAACAAATGAACAGAAAGGAAAGAAGTAAAGGTAGACCGAGTCTGTTTCGTGGACAGCAACATGCTCCTCTTTAGGTTGACGTGTGAGAAACAATTATGTTTCATATTATAGCCAATTTCTGATGGTAACGTTATGACGTCAACAGTTGGTCAAATAGTGATGTACTCACGAGGCCTAGCCTCGGCAAAATGCAGCATTTACCGTTCAGCACAAAAATGAGTTGGTTCTGTTAATGTTCAGCTATTCTGTTGATGTTATTCTGTGTGTTTCCCTATTTTCATTCATTCGTTTATCAATCAAACTTACTCTTTTGATGCTCTTGATGTTGAAATGACTTGCGCTTTGCCTTAGGTAGACGCTAATTTCCTCCTGTATGCTTTGCGCATGCCTCGAACTGTTGCTACTGCTGTCTGGTATGTCTAGGAGACGTTTTATCCGATGCTGTCTTTCCGCTAGGGAACGGTACACAGTTCGATATGATACCTGAAATGAAGCACGACTGAATGTTACGACTATAACAAAACCTCACTGACTGCTGGATGAACGAGCTGTGAACAGTTCAAAGTATACCGTCAAGTTCGTACTTTTACTGTGTCGTGCACTGAGTTGTTTCACAGTCTACTAATAACAAACATGGATAAATTCAACAATAACAAAGCACAAATTGGTACGCATAGTCTCCTATAAAGCCGCTTTTTTGTTTGGAAACAACTCTCTCCCTCCCTCTCTCAAGAATTAATTTTCAGAGCCTGGTATTGGAGAATAAATACGTGGGAAAAGTAGAAGGGTTCATAGGAGTTGGCAAGTTGAACCGGTTAGGAGAGAAGATAAAAAACCTGAAGAATACAGTCAACTTTTGTCTTGCAGACTCCCCGATATTACAGGGACACCTTGCTATTAATGTGGTATAGTGCAAATTCCCCGGCAAAAAATACTGACAAAGAAATGACCGTTATTAACTCTTGCTATTGTGGTTGCTCCTTATTAAAGACACCAATTGACGGTCCATAGTGTGTCTGCTGTAACGAGAGTAGACTGTATCTTCCGGCATGCTTACCACCACGACGCTAAAAAGCAGTTTGGCTTTAATGTCATTGCCATCTTCAAGCCGATCAAACGATTCGATGTTGTCCAGATCATCTAACGCCTCCACTCTTGTCTGTGTGTACAAGTTGTCGTAACTGTCAGTCAGTGTTGAAGGTCGACAGTCCGCTTCTGACAAGTCATCGAATTTCCCACCTTTTCTAAGCTGCCTTTGTGCTTGGTCAGCAAGCCTGCAAGCGTATATTGTCAATTGACATTCATCAAAAGTTCACTTTGGTTTAAAGTGCATATAACTTTTGTTTGAAATATATATAATATTGAAACGCATTTTAAGTTAGTCCTAAAACCAAATTAAAAACAGAATATTGTCCTAACGTGTTCCGAACTTTCTTCATAATTTACGGAAGGTACGTTTTTATATTTGAAGAGAAGGGCCCCACCCACTACCCTACCCCCCCCCCCCCCCTAATACAAGAACGTACCTTTCCTTAGGACTTCTTTTCTTAACCTATTGTTTGGCATCAAGTCGTATTCTTAGTATATAATCTTTATTTTAGCATTCAATTATCTTTAAAACATTTAAGAAATAAAAGCGGAAAAAACAAATTTTTAAATAGTGTTCATTTCAGGTCACTAATCTAGGTGCTAATTAACCGGGCTTTAATTCCGTAAAAATTGATATGTGCTTTCCTGGTTTGAAATGCTGACTTTGAAAAATTTACTGATTAGAGCTTTTAATCCACTTGGTTACTCAGTATTTTTCCTCTAAATTTGTTATTAATTTCTGTTTCTGCCCTTATAGTACACTCAACAAAATTACTCGACTCTGCTTGGTCGAGAGGAGTTCAATTATAGCGTTAATTGTACTCCGTAGGAGTACCGAATTAAGTCGCTATGGCAACATGGCCAAAACAATATCAAAACAATTATTTTCTATCATTTTGTACTTAAAAAGCATAAATAAAATTTTAAAGCCGTAAGAACTAATCTTTTTTATGCATTTCAGTTGCACGATGGACTGGAAATCGGCCGCAAAATAGACAAAGATGAACGGCGTCGCTTCGCATTTTTTACTGAAATTTTGTTGAGTGAACTATAAACAAAAAATCGCACGATCTTTTCGTACAATTTGGAACTAATAGACACTCGTAATGTTTTGAAAGTTCTTTAATTGTACTCGCCTAAAGGCTCGTGCAATTACAAGAACTTTCAAAACATTACTCGTGTCTATTAATTTCCAAATTGTACTCGAGATCGTGCGATTTCCTATACAAAGCGGTGCTTCCCCCAGTCCCCAAGGTCTGTCCATCAATATACTATATCATTATTACTATATTATTATATGTATGTTTAGATCCACTAACAAGATAGGTGTTTCTTAAAGGTTACCTATCTCTCATTTCTTTTTCTTTTTCCGTCATTTCTTTTATTCTTTCTTGTGCTTGTTGAAGTTCATTTTCTTTTTCTGCTAATGTTTTCTTTATCTTTAATAACTCGTCCTTGACAGCCCTAGACACTCTTCTCGATCTGGGGTTCCTGTTTGTATCACGTGATGGGTCGCCGTCTGAGTCAGTAGAACTCAACGTGGAGCTTATTTCATCAAAATCTAAAAACCGGAAAAAACGTATTGCAGTTGAGTATTGTTAATAAGGTTTCTAGAATGAGTGGGTGGTCGTGTCATATCGGTATATAAAGGAGAACAAGCCGTTATAAATAGCCATTAGAAAACTCATTAATAATTCATGAAGGAGGTTTTATATCTGATATAGAATCGCCTTCATTTGCATAAATTTTAACTTGGATTTTCTCTATCAAACTTGGTTCATTTCGTAAAGAATTCGGTACAATATGAGAACATACATCATGAGTTTTCTAAGTAATGTTTAAAAAACTCGCAGATCGTGTTTTATTGGGTCTAAAACCACTCAGCTGCGCCTCGTGTTTTATACTCGGCTGCGCAGAAGCCCCCCCCCCCCCCAAAAACCCACAAGGAACGCCTGGCCACGCAGGCTACTTATAGCAAGGCTTCTCTTTCTATATTTAACCGACTTCCAAAAATAATAAGCCAGAATCTTACGACCAGTTCACAAGAGCGCATGCGCAGCTAGTCATCTTTGCTACCGTTATATGCATAACAACTAACTCTTACATAGCCCGTGTAAACATTCAGCTAACGTTGAAAACTGTTTTGAAAATAGAATGACTATTTAACCAATTTCCTTCCGTTTTCCGTGGCACGATTTTCGTCATCTAGCCAACAAAATGTTGTGGACTCACAAATTGTTCATGATTGAATTCACTGGTGATTTATTGGTAATCTTCCAGTTTTAAAGAGTGACTACTTGATTATATAAGAAGTTTAATGACAAGAGCTTTATCGCCAGCTGGTAATTTCGGCAGTATCTATAAACTACTGTGCGCCCACCCCAACTCGTTTTTTTCCTGTCAAGAGCACTACATTAAGCAAGTAATATGATTCTATAGTCTCCAGTTGTTAGCTGTCTATATGCTTCGGGCGTCCAATTTGAAATATTTAATAAATTCATTCATGGACGTAAATGTTGTTGGGGTACTACGTGTCTTGGTCTGGTCTTACCTATTTCGTCTCCGAGCTGTGTAACTGTCTCAAACATGTCCGTATCACTACCAGCCGCTTCGTCCAAGCCATCCATTGATCCATCGGTTTTAAGACTAATAGTAGAATATCTTAGCTGCTTAGGAACAAATGTGTTCTCCCCATCTTGACTAACGCCTTTGACTGATTCTTGTAACATCTGATAGACAAGTCCGTAAGCACGCTGGAAGCGCTCAAGCATTGGGATTATCGGTTCATCGGATGTACTGACCCTAAACTCTTTCTTGATTTGACTGATCAGCTTCAAGACCTGTCACAGGGAACATAAAGTGTTCCTTAATGTCGGAGCAAAAATATTGCAAGGGAAACGAAGGGTACGGGGGTCAAGAAAGTGTGGAAATTATGTCGTGACTTGTGACATCGCTTTTGCGACACTAACGTATCTAACCTATCACACACGTGTTTCATTAGGATCCTTGTGTCATAGGTTAGATTTTAAATCATGCAGTACATAAATCACCATATCATCAGAAACTACTCAAATTTGCGAGAACCTGAACGGACAGTTTTTAAAAGAATTTTCTTATCATTCGGTTCGTTAAAAGATTGTATATTCCTTAGTTCATATAAGCCGGATTAGCTGTTCTTCAAAACTGAAGCTTAAAACTAAGCTTACTAGATTCCATTTTACCAGTTTTAATCTGTTTTTATGTGTGAAAAAGATGTAGAAATCACGACCGACAAAATTTTTCGAAAAATAAAGTTTACATTCAGTTAAACTTAACGAAAACAACTGAGTCAGATTTATTAATGCAAATATGTATCAGTTCCTTTTTTTATTTCATTCAATATTTAAATAAATTCATAATCTATAGAAATATTAAAACTATTGAAGGAAAGTCTTGCCAATAGGAAGCGTACAAAACTGCTTTTTCTTGTACGTAAACTGAACATACGATAGTTGGTTAAAATAAAAAGAATTCTTGAAGATTTATAATCTAAATAAAGGGCGAATATTTTTTTGTAATATGTACTAATTTTTTAGTACAGATTCATCCAGCATTAAAATATATCACCTATAGAAATACTAAAACTTTTGAGAAAAATATTTTGATTTTCCAATTTGTCGAAGGAAACTGCCTTTCACAATAAATCGATTTTGGATGTTTTTCTGATCTATATCCAACCAACACAGACATGTTGTCCTGAATTGAACGTAACGATAAAATCAGGGGTGTACCGCCTTAAAACAACTATTCCCTGCCCTCGATTTCTTAAACCATATCGGTGTACAGCTGAATCACACATCTACTGGGAAGAGTCGAGATACCATATAAAACACTCCTCCAGCCCATAAAAACTACGGGCCGGACGACGACGGGAGGAGCACGGGGATGATCGACTACACTTCACCCTCTCCAAAACTTACATACTGAGGTATAGTCACAGATAACAAGCGTAAAACCTAGTTACATTATCAAGCTAGTATACTGACTTGCGGAATGCATGCTGACTACGAAGTGTAATCTTGTCGCCTAGTGATATCTTCTATCGCGAAATTTGGTTTTAGAAACCAAAGAGTATGGAGAAGGAACCGATGATTTGAACTTTAGCTTTGACTTCATGGCAGCTCTAAAATTGAGACCCCATTTTGCCGGAATAAGAAACACGGAATACATTGAAAAGACTCACCTCCTTGTCATGTTTGACTCTAGATTCCAATTTATTCGTCAACATTGCAACAGATAACTGACCCTTGGACCCTCTGTCTACAGCGTTCATTATGGACTGGTTGAAATACAACCTGTCTTCAATGAGCTTTTGTGTCAACAGCCTCATATGCTCAGCTGTTTTCTCTTCCAACTCATCGTCCATATTTGTACCACTTGTACCAGCTGCTGTGCCTGGAGTCACATCTATATTTTGATGTGGAACATTTTGTAAAACTTCGTTAAATTTTTGTAAAGCCATTTTATAGTGAGCTGTAGCCCTTTCCATTTCTATCTTCAGAGCCTCATGTAGCTTCATACAGTACTTAGCAGATGATCGACTCACGATTTCCACCAATGTATGTTGTGAAAACCCTTCCAAAGCTTTTGAAAACTGTTCTATTCTCTGAGAAAACATTTCACTGAATTCGTTTTCGTTCTTCAAGCAAATACTTAAGATGTTTCGGATGCAGTCCCTGGAGCGAGCACTAGCAAACGTGTGGTCGTTGTATTTTAGAAGTTCAGAAAAGTATCTTACAAGGTGATGGACGACATCTTGGCTGCGAAGGACTGTCTTTGGAAATCGTTCCTTGGAGTCAATATGTAGCTTGGAAAAGATGGCTGAAATAACGCACAAACTGCTCGGAATGTCTTGGTAAAGTCGCTCGATATTTAGTTTATTTAAGATCAAAAACAAAACATCACCTGGTATTTGGTTGATAATACCTGTTAAGTCATCATATTCCCTTCGTTCGATCCTAAGATTAATTTTTCCAATGACTTTGAGGACCAATAATCTTCCATCTGCGAGTCTCTGTCCTTCAGACTGACTAGCCATACTATCGATGCTGTGCCTTGATCCTCGACTACCGCGGGCTAGAGCGGGGACTTCAGTAGTCAAAGCAGGAATCGATAACGAACGTTTCGATCGCTTTTTCAGGCTTGCTTTTTGATCGGCAGGGCCAATACTTGTCTCTTGATTGTCAGACATTATTTGTATATTCTAGTTTGTAGTGCTGTTCAAATCATTGAATTCTCTTGTGACATATTAGAGTCATGGAGGTGCAAAAATATTACTGTAATCATTCCTCTTGTTTTCTTTGCATTTGAACCTGTACATGGGCTAATATAGATAAATACACGCCGACAGTTTCTTCACAATTGCGCATTATATTACAGTGTTAGTCCTTCTTAGAATTCTCTTCAGATATCTGTTTCACTCACAATTAATGTCAGCGATACAGAGGTTGAAAACAGGACTTTCTCAGCAATCCACGACCATAGGTTCTTGAGGTCAACATCGATTGAAACTCTAAATCAATAGATATTAGAACTCTGATAGATTCGTTTGCTTTCATAGCTCCGAAGTCAAGGAAACAAAATAGGAATTCGCGTTTTGTTGACTCTCTTAGTCAATCAAAAATATTCTCAGTTGCAGAAGTGTCAACAATATTGAAATACAGAAAAGCTCAAAAAAAAAAAAAAAAAAAAAAAATTTAAATATGATGTATTTGCTCTAGGACGAGTCCTCTCAAACCTGCTAACTTTTTTTTTTTGACTCAGTTGTGTTACTTTTTATTTTGGGTTAGTTTTGTATAGATTTGGTACAGAAATATTTGTTCACTGGTAGCCCAGCAATATTTACGAGAGTGATAAGCCGATTCATTATTACATACAAATAACTTAACAAGTGAATTTGTTTAAAATTGTTTAAAAGCTCTATTTTTTCTGAAAAATGGCGACTTTGATCACAGTACTTTGAAGCTTACATTCATAACTAGAATTTGATTAATGGTGTTCTTTACGTTAGTCGCACAGGAAAATAAAGAATAGAGTATTAAAGTTTTCAATTTTTTACCAAAAATTGACTGAACTTCAAATATTCAGACACTGTTACAGATGGCAGAGTTTCTGTCGACTGAAAGGTCTCTCAGTGGTTTATCTCAGTGGCATTTGAATAACTCCAGGGCATAAATTATTGAATACTACAAAATTATGCTTCCTTGAATACATCACAGGTTTTGGAGTGCTACCAAATTCAGTTAATTTGAAGTCGTAACATCTCAGCTCTTAGTCTTTCTGTAAAAGTGATATAGTTTTTTATTATTGGATTACCCACTGGAAAGAGCTGTCGACAAAGACAAGCGCAGCGTGATGCCAATCATTGGCGGCTTTATTTAAATAAACAAGCGCTTATAATTGCATTCCTTTTCGAAAGCAAATGCACATTTCCATATAGCTTATTAGTGTCATTGAATTCTCTTAGCTGTTGTGAGTGTTTACGACTGGACTACATAGCGTTGGCAACCAAAGGTAAGTTGAATGTTTTTTCGCCATTAGACCTATAAAATAAGAGATAAGCGACTTCTAAGAAACGAAAAATAAAACAAATTGACGTATTAAGGTCAAGCAAACGTGGACTCGAGTCAGTAAACTCTCTTCTCTACACAGTAGCACTTGGACCAAACAAAATTAATTAAAATCCTAAGAAATTGAGTGTATGTGAGAGAGGAAAGTTATGAGGACTTGTTGAAACTTGTTCTCTCTTGACATCTTGGCAACAGCTGAAGTGGGTTCTTCTCAACTCATCAGAAGTCTTAAATTAAGGTATTTTAAAGACCACCACTAGAGTATTGTTTGTAAACACTGTCTTGTGTATTAAGTAAGAGATCCCGTTTATTTTATTATAGGTATTCCTTTTGTGATTCTAAACTAGCACACGACCCTCGCTCGTAGAAAACTGATGGCTCAGTCGGAAATGAAAAGGGGAGTAGAGTTTGTGGTAAATGTTGAAAACTGTGTTGATGATAAAGAGGAGGACGGAGATCAGTCTAATGAAGAATTTACTGGATCGTTAACTGAGCAAGAATTACAGAGAATCAAGGAAGAATTAAGATTGATTGATGATGACGGCGATGATAATCACTGCTCATCTGATAGCGAAGCATATGGATCTACTCCATTTGATAGCCCTTTGACGGAAGCTGAACGCAAGCTCTTGGATGAGTTCACTCTCGGGACAACGAGTTCGTTTCCCCGTAGCCCAAGCACGTCTCGATCAGCATCACTGGCTGAGGTAGCTGACTCACTTATCAAAGATCTCGAAAAATACACCGCGACCCACACCCTCGAGTATAATAACAATTACGATTCTGATCAGTCAGATAAAGAKGATTTAGATGACTACACACAAAACCGGAATAGAGGAAAGGAAAGCCGTAATGATAGTGATCTGGGATCATCCCTTTCCATGGCTTCTGGGGTTGACGGATTAGAAAAGCTGGTTGAAGAGCTCGCTCTACGAACAGATAGCAAATCCATAAAGAATTGCAATAGCGATACATCTACATTATCCATGGATTTACAAGAAATTCAAAATGGCAGTGAAGTTGTTGACGAACTCAAGAGCTTGGGATCAACACCTGATAATAACGCAAAGAGTGTAGTTAAAGAGAAGAAGTCAGATGCTGCACAAGTCGATCATTCACTTGAGATGGATGTTGATTTCTCCGCCATCAGCTCTCGTTCTTCTTCAATCCAATCGGGTTCAATTCCTGCGTCTGTAGACTCGGGGCTTCCAGTCAACGATGCTTCTACTGGACAACATCGGTATTTCGTAGTTGTTGCTATTGACTTTGGGACAACATTCAGTGGTTATGCGTTTGCCTTTACTCGAGACCCTGAGAGCATCCATATCATGAGACGATGGGAAGGTGGAGACCCTGGGGTATCCAATCAGAAGACTCCAACAACACTACTATTGAGGCCTGATGAAACTTTTCACTCATTTGGTTTTGGCGCTAGAGATTTTTATCATGATTTGGAACCCGATGAAGCACGCAAATGGTTATACTTTGAGAAGTTTAAGATGGCTTTACATACTAAAAAGGTAAACAAACCAACAAAAGCCGAGAGGCACTTAAAAAATTAGCACATCTTCAAAATCTGTATAAAAAATGATATTATTCTTGCTAATAAAAACATTAATTTCTCCAGTCGGTTGAACGCCGTAGTCAAAGCACAATTTTTCTATAGCAACCCGATGTGCTATCCAATCATGCAAGAGGCTTTTCAGATCAATCAATTTTATATACAGTCTAGAAACAAAGCCGCAACCAGGGGGTGCACCCCACTCCCGCCATCAACTGTACAAGCAGAAGGACTGATCATTCATTTCCTCATTTTTTGCTCCTCGAAATCCTTGTAATTTTATAGCTCTTGTTAAGGTGATGGTTATTAGTTTAGAAATACTTTCCTTTCCATTGGTGCACCCAGCCTGCAAAACACCTGGTTTTACATCCATGATAAACTAGCCGCTTTCTTTCAATTACAATCGGTTACAATCGGTTTTTATTTTTGGAAAGATTCCTTATCTTTTTCTGGAAGTGTTTTTGCGCTTGAAATAACGCTAATGATAGTGCTTTAATCGTATTTCCTTGGATTTAACAGTGTTTACTTCACGCGACTATATTGGTATTAAAACGTAATGATTTTATTTTTACTTTACGCCTCATGCAAATTGATCTTACTTCAACAGGTAGTTGTCTGCTTTAAAAAAAACTCTTTTTTTCCAAACAAATATGAGTCACTGCTTCAAACTCGGCTATATTATATTTTTCATTATTATAAGGCTTGTATTTTCTTAAATGTAATGTTGACACTTTCAAACCCCCGACAAGCGTTTGGTCAGCGACGGCAAAGAAAAAGCTTGGAGACCTAAAAAGCCCAATTTTAGTTTTCCTTTTGGCTTTAGATATCGTATTTTATATTATTGTGAAAAAAAGGATGCATATAAGTTCATGCACTCGTTTGTATTTCTATGTTTTGTATTTATTTGTTAACGATTGATTGCTGTTTTATTTATGCATGCCTTCTTGATTATTTATCGACAGAATCTCAATAAAAATGTCGAAATCAAAGCAGCAAATGGAAAACCTATAAAAGCCGTTACAGTATTTGCACATGCTTTGAAATTCTTCAAAGATCACGTAATCGAAGAGCTGACAGACCAATCAGCGACGCAAATTCTTGAGGAAGATATCCAATGGGTAATCACGGTACCTGCTATTTGGAGGGCTCCTGCTAAGCAATTCATGAGGACTGCGGCTTATGAGGTATGTCACTTGACCACTATTAACCAGCCGAAAAAATACCAGGTGTTTGCAATATAACTAATTATTTTCCCCGTTCAGTTAAGCTACGTATTGTTTCCACATTGTCTTCTATTAAAGACTAGACAGTGCGGTATTTCAGTTTTTTCTTTTCTAGATCGTGTTCACAATCTATTTGCAAAACGTTTTATGCTTGTACAGGTTTGACTAAAAACTGGCTCGACATTTAAAAAGGAAGATTAATATTTCTCAGAATGTAATTTTGCAATTCCCGGCATATATATCATCATTATTTAGTGAAGTATTTTTATGAGAATAAGAAGAGTACAGAGCACGAAAACAACTACACTGGAAAATCCGCTGGCATAATTACAACGCCGACATTATATTCGACCCTATTTGCTGTATTATGTTCTGCACATTTCGTTATTAATCCTATAGTGAAGTTGTCCCTTAACAGATTAGTTTTTTGATATTATTGGACAACAGCTAAATATGTGTGCTCGAGTTCCAAATATTACTATAGAATAGGCAACTCGACACTTATTAATATATTTAGGCCATGCCGCCAGTATACTCTTTTCCGGAAGATATGATTCATGAGTACTTGATATTTGTTCGATTTTTCTGCTGCACCTGCAAATGCAGTTCAACGACCCCATAGTCACTTCCATGCATTGTAGAGTGACATTTTTCATCTTGTTCAATAACCATATACCCGGGCGCAATTAATATCGGAGGGCTTACAAATGAACGACTTTGCATCACAGAGATTTCTTAACATGTATGACTCTATCAATAAAACTGCTATCAGAAGACCAAGCAAGAAACACAACATCACAATCACCCTGTTTGTTAGCCTGCGTATCAAAACCCTTAGCTTTGAAGTTTACGTTTATATTTCTTATGTCGCAATTTGACCTGAGTTGGAATTGTGCCAGTACTGAATATGAGCCTTCCTACTCGGCAGTCCACTGCCTTTTCACTATTCGATAATTTGTTGTAACTTCATTTATTTTATATGATAGAAATCCTCCTTTAAAACACCTTATATATGACATTGGTGCTGATCTAGGTGGGATATCTCCGCTAGCAGTCTTGCAAGAAGTGGCATGAATGAACTCTGCCTTCAGAAGAAATACAATGAAGTTTGGTTTTGCATCCATGCGTGTTTTATTTCTTACATGTACATGAAGCTGCCACTGATTTACAAAAAAGCTCAATCTTGTATACATTTTTCAACATTTGCAACAATAGATACATTTTCGAATTAGAAAACAACTACGTTTTTTCCTGTGCTCGTGCTGTTCAGTTTTAAAAAAGCGATTGCTGACAATCCGCGGTTACATTAGTCTTAAAATCACATAAAGCCATTTCGATTAGATTTAGATACGATAGCTCTATAAGATTGTATTATTCTATCGGCGGATCCACTTTTCATGGTGCTGCTCGACGCTATTTCAGCTTTGAGAAGTCTTCACTTCGCTGTGGAACGACGCAGTAGCCATATTTTGTGGGAAATGGAGCAAACAGGTACGATCCAATCTGCTTCTGGCCAGAAGGATTGAACAGTTGCTTAAGGAGAAAGGCTTGTATTAATACCACGATCCCACCAAAGAAAACTTCAACCAATACCATGATGATTATTGCGGAGACTTAACAAATGGTATTACATCTGTTACTTTGCAGATACTACATGGAATAGATGGTATATAATTTGCATTCATTGCGATATTATAATTGTTCGCATGTTATATATTCATTTCTTAACTACGTCGATCAATTTGATCACTACCAACCTTTTATTCCACTTTTGTAACAGCAAAAGTGTATTAACGAGAAAAGCAAGTAATATCGAGCTCCTATTGCATTCGGCTGTTACGTTTTTGCTGACTTTGAAGGTAGTAGGGATAAGGAATGATTTCTCCCTTGCAAATATTTTTTAAAAGAAACGTTTCGACGGCCAGTGCAAAAATTACACTTCCAGCTACAATAGCTTCCACAATCATGTTTTTTTGTTCGAACACATGCAGAATCTGTGAATATCATAGATTTAGTTTCTCGTTTTATAGGTTAATTTTCAATATCGAAAATAATTAATAAATAAATGGTTATCTATAGAATTATGTGGAAAGTGGTTTGAATCTTTGCCAAGTGTTATGACAAACAACTTTAAAATAAATTGAACTGTAATTTATACCCCGTCAGTCATTCTGCTGATTGAATATGGATTGAGCACGTATAAGAACGAGAAAGAGAGCGAGAGTGAGAACGAGAATATGAGAATAAGAATATGAGAATGAGAATATAATTAAGTCGAACGCCCCCTCCCCTCCCCTGCTCTCACCATTACTGCCACCAAAACCAAGATTATGCGGGAGGTATTCTTTATTCGGTGATATAAACACATGTCGATTAGCACTAGTATACAAGATACGAATTAATAATTTTTTTCTTACGAAAATCTACTGAGTAACATGATATTTTGCCTCGTTTTCTGTGCTAAAATCATTGTTTTTTTCAATTCCACATCAATTCGTTTGTATAAAAGATTCACTTATGTCTTTTTGAAAGCAACGTACTCAAAAAAATTTCAATGACGCACTTGCCAAGCTTTTACCATCCTATGCAGTCGTACTGAAGCCGTTGTAATTCAAAAAACTCCAAAGTTAATTCTTCCAGTTTTAGTGTCGTCCATGAAGCCTTGTTCTTCACAACAGATAAGACCCTCTTCCATACTTGTATATTTCAATGTTTTGCGCTTCTTTTTCTTGTTGTTTCGGACTGCGCTTACTACACAATAGTCTTTTTAGCATGTAGATATTTATCAAAGTTATCATACCAATCGTTCCCAGTGCAACCACTTCTACCACCATCACTTTGAAAAGATCTTGCCATACAACAAGGGAATGATCATCGACTAGTTCCAGTAACAATGATAAAGTTCTAGTATGTTTTTTGGAAGAGCATAGTATGTTTTTGTATAGTGATTGTTTATTTGTATAGATGTATTAAATAATGTATGGGATTTGCTGGTGGTTTAGTTTTTAAAATATTCGTTGGCGAAAACCCAAAAATAGCTTCAGCGGCCTGAAATATTAGCGTTAATGAAATGTTAAATTCGTTATGAAAAACTAAAAATCGAATTTTGTTGCTGCTCAAATTTAACTACACTAGATTTGTTGATAAACTGAATTGTGCTGCTAACATGTGAATAGACATTTGAAAGATTTTGAAAGATTTTGATGATTTGAAGTATTTTTTCTAAATGAAATCATATCAGTAATGTGACTGTGGTGTTTTGTCAGTGCTTATTAGAGGTGCAGATATTTTTGTGACCTTAATTTTAAACATATAGCGGCTAGACCTAACCTAGTAAAAACTTACTATAGTAAATTCCTAAGATTTTGTTAAAAAACCCATTTTGCCAAAGCAAGTCTAGTAAACATCCATGTTCACCTAAGAACAAACTACCCGATATTATATTATAACACCCTGTTATAAAACCCCTAATAGTATTTTATGATAGTAGCATTCAGTATATTCATATTGCGCATTTAGAAAACGATCACTCTTGAAGTCTTGAAGTCCGTCTTGATATCCGCCATTCGGTCATGGTCGGTCAGCGTACAGGGAAGTAAGCGTTAGAATACGGGATCAGAGTTCCTTTTTGTCCATCCTTTTTTTCGGCGTTACCTTTGTCTTGGCTCAACTTCTTTAGTAAGTAGATATCAGCTAAAGTGAGTCCTGTGACCAGGGCTCCAAGAAAAAACATTTCCAGTAGAGGCATGTTTCGATCAATAATGTAACATTCAGCGTGGAGTTTTTCTGACTATGAGGACTCCTTATACTAAGATGACGAGCCTTGATTTTGCTCTTCGCCGTATCATGATACATGCGATACATGTAATTCACAATTTGCCCACGTCAGTGTTCAATAGGAGTTAAAAGTGTCGGTAATGCCTTAATGTACTGAGCATGCGCGAATAAAAAATACCAATATCCATTGTCATTTGATGCCAACTAAATAATCCATTTTCTTTACTGGCTGCTAGCCATTTAACGTTTTTAATATTTGAATGGAAGTGCAAGCACTTAAAACAGATTTTACAAAACCAAAAGTTAGTTTTGAAATTCTGGGTTAACCTGAGTAAGCATAGCGCTACAGCCCTAAGGGGGGAGGGGTAAGAAACAGCATGCAAACTGTGCATTTTCCCTCAGTTTATTAAAGAATGATAGAAAAAGGCACTTCTTGTGCAATCAAATTATTTCACTTCATCAGCAGGAGGTGTTGTGTATGGAAGGAGGAGAGTATTAAATCATCGGCTTTGTCGCCGCCTSTTTTGTTATCTCCACCACTCGCCTTGAAAGCAATAAAGTAATATAGCTAATTAAAAAACGTGTTCACGAACCATCGAACATTCAGTTCAACATTTTACAACAAATATACTATAATTGAAATAATAACAATTGGCTTGGACAGTACGATGTTCCTGAATCCATCCTCCAGCAGACGACAAACCATATGCTATAAAACTGTCTATATTATTTATCCATAATGTTTCCTCTAACACCCCAACGAATCTAGTCGTTCTCTGTTATTATTTGACTTCCAAAGATCGATAACAAACACAGAAAACTGGCGTGTTTCCCATCTTAGTCTACGTTTTGGAATCGTCTTATGTACCATCTTTTATGTGCCCGTACCGAATCGCAACACGTACCATACTTCCACTGTAATCCAAACACCACGAGTCCAGACATCAAAACCAGTACAAAGAACACTACTTCAGGCATGATCAAATTCTTCACAGATCCTGATCTGGATGTCTTCTGTTATTATAATGATGCAGTACGTACTACAGCTGATGATCATGTAACATATATCCTATTTCTAAAATTTTAACACTAGAAAGTATGGAATTTTTTTTTGACAACTTGCATTTAACGGCCTTCACAGTGCAAGAAGGAAAAGGTTTTGCTAATATAACATAATCCATTTATTAGCCTCTGACGTCATATTTAACAAATGTCTCTATGGCAACGAATACAGAAAAAAGATTTACATCTATTAAACTTTGTACTAATCTGCATGAGCTAAAAATGTTGCGCAAGGCATCAGTAGTATGAAAATAAAAAGATCATTGAACGCAGTTGTATAGGAATTTAAAACATTTCATGACTCTTCAGGCAAGGGTATTAAAACATCAATTAATTGAAGGGAAAAGTAAAAGTATCCGCGAATTAGGGGAGCAAAAAATTCTGAGCATCACATTTTGACTTAAAGTAATATTTATTATAATTATATTCGATATTTTTTTACCGTATTTGTCCTGCTAACAGATAATATAGAAGACTTCTTTTATAAACTTTAAACCTAAAAGGTATAGACCACTCAATGAGACTTCCGTTGTGAAATACTTCGTTTGGTGCAACAGATTTAGTCGAAGCCTCGTGAATGTTTAATATTTGATTGCAATTAATACAGCTACTATTTAGATCTTTAACCGGCTTCTTAAAAAAAATAAACACCTTGACCACATCGTCTATATAATGACCACAGACCCTTCCATTCACTTCCATACAGCTCGTTCTTGATCAATATAATGACATATAAAACACCTGCGTTTATTTATCAAATAATTAACATAATATGAACCTTGAACAGTTTTGTTGATTGTATTATCTTAACAGTACTTACCGGCATGATGATTGGCTTTGTTAACCTCGAAAAGTAGTTCGTGTTACAGTGCGCCTGCAGCCCTATAAACTGAAAAGTCTTAACCTATGACTATGTTTTTTGACTGATTAGGCTGGTCTTGCCACGTCCAACGAACCTGATCGAATTCTGATTGCTCTTGAGCCTGAAGCAGCATCAATTTTTTGTCGAAAGCTGAGACTCCGAGACTGTGTGTGGCAAGAATCCAAGAGACGATCTACTATTTCATCAAGCACAGATGAGCAAATTGAAGAGGAATTTCAAGGTACGTTTTTTTGTAGATTAGTCTTACAATACGAGCATAAATATCAGTAATAAATAAATAAATAAAATAGGGTGAGAAGGCCATGAAAATAGATATTGTAGCAAATAGCTCATGTGCTCTTGTGTTAATACTGAATCGAATCCAAAAGGATCTAAAAAGATGACTTCAAAAGTGGATTAATGCAACGGACATTTTGAAATGATAGAAAAATGTAAAAAAGTCTTTTTTTGTATGAGGTGGGAATCAGTAAGTTCCAGTGGAACCCACGTTAACCAACAGAAACTCAAAAATTCTATTGCACTTGGCGTCAATTAAGGCCTATCTACCACTGTACGCATTATTTAGCATACTGATTTTTCAGCAACGGAAGCATTTTAGAGAAACCTTATCTTCAGCTAACCCCCTATATGTGCATGATGCACTTCGATTTGAAGTGGAAAATAATCTACTTTTTGTTGTGCATTGTAAATCTTCCCGGCTATTTTTGTGCAAATTTCTTGGAGCAAAGAAACCCAGCTAAAAAAACATGGGCTTTCAAGACACTGAGTCAAGCCCGGTTGAGGAGTTAAGTGAATGAGAGTATACCTGGATGCTTGGGTGACCGTAAGTTCATACCTTCTGATACCTGAATAGATATAGAACCGCCTTGATGCTTTTACTCGCAGTTCTCTATCGCCGATTCCTGTCTACTTAAATCTTTCACTGGGCAACAAGAACCATCTATAGCAACAGGTTCAGTTGGATGTAGTACCACCCTCTTGCCTCAGCAGTGATTAAATAAATGAAAAACACTTAAGATTACCAGGCAAAAATACCATAAAGCTTTTTAATGAACGCTAAAACCCATATAATTGAAATGACTTTTTTTGCCTTAACAGACAAAACACGGTACATGGTGGTTGATTGTGGTGGTGGTACAGTAGATCTGACAGTCTATGAGCTCAACACTAAAGCAGGTACATTAGAGGAGCTTCACAAAGGAACAGGGGGAGCATGTGGAGCTACAGGTGTCGATCAAGAGTTTGAAAACCTCCTTAAGAAAATCTTTGGTAAAGAATTTATCGACCAGTTTAAGTCGAAACGTCCGGCCGGTTGGGTTGATTTGATGATTGCGTTTGAAGCCAAGAAAAGAACTGCCAGTTCCAACAAGGCCAACCCTCTCAATATTTCTCTTCCATTTGTATTTATCGATTATTACAAAAAACACAAAAGTTCGACAGTTGAATCAGCTGTGAAAAAATTTGGAAGTTCTAAGATCAAATGGAGTTCACAAGGCATGTTAAGGGTTGCTCCTGAAACTATGAATGAACTATTCGCCCCAGTCTTGAAGCAGATTATTCAACACATACGTGTTTTGCTGAGCACCCAAAGTGTATCTGATATTGCGTACTTGTTTCTCGTTGGTGGATTCGCTGAATCACCACTGCTACAAACTGCTGTAAGAGATGCCTTTGGTTCACAAATGCGAATAATTATCCCACAAGACGTCGGTCTCACAATTCTTAAAGGAGCCGTATTGTTTGGTTTAGACCCAACTGTCGTACGTGTTCGTAGAGCAGCAATGACGTATGGTGTCGGTGTACTCAATCGATTCGTGCCTGGAAAACATCCCAAGTCAAAACTGGTGAAGAAAAATGGCATTGAGTGGTGTACAGATATACTTGATAAATACGTTATTGTTGATCAAGCTGTTAATCTGGGAGATAAAGTGACAAGAAGTTATGCGCCTGCAAAACCTGGTCAAAACTACACCATCATAACGATTTACAGCTCTGATGAAGAACATGTAACTTTTGTCACAGATTCTGGGGTGAAAAAATGTGGTCAGTTGAGAATTGAAATGCCAGACATGAAGAACAATGATCCTATTAAACCGAGAGAAATCCAAGCTTCGATGGAATTTGGTAACACAGAAATCAAAGTTAGCGCTGTGGACGTATTATCTGGGCTGGATGCAAGGGCATCAATAGATTTCCTAAGTAATTAGACCTTGAATGTTCATATAGAATGATTCTTTTTGTTATTTATGTCATAGAGTGTGCCTTTGTGGATTTTTTTATTTGAAACGTTATGCTTCAGTCGTGGAATGCCTGAATTTTTTACACCACACCACACCACACCACACCACACCACACCACACCACACCACACCACACCACACCACACCA